ACTTTACAACATAATGTACATTTAAATACTGAGCTTGAAGTTACACTTCCAAAAGAAAGTTTCCACTGTATCTTGTATTCAGTAAAATTGGTTCTCCAATGAAGAAAGACTGCTTGCCCACTGCTCCAGCATTAGCATTACTTTTTCAACTTGCCTCGTTAAGCCTTGGATAAGGGAACTGATTTCCATAGAATTTTTACAGAGTTTGGTTCTTGTCAACGGTTTCTTTCAAGCTACCAGAAAGGTCTGTGAGGACGTTCTGTTCTAAGTAGTAAATAGACCACTCTAGACTGTCTGCAACTACAACTGCTGTTTTCTTAGGCAAGAGCTTACTTTTGTGCTTCTGTGATCATACAGGCGGAGACACCCCACCGTAGCACAATAGAGAGACCTTATTAGGCACTCACTAGTCATTGAATGCCCCATGTTTCCTTGGGGTTATTTTCTAAGCTTTTGGCCCTGAAGTCTCTCAGTTACTCCAAAGTTAACTAAGCATAAGCCTATTTCCATGAGAAAAAAGCTACCTCTCACTGAAAAGGAAAAATGACTAACATTTGCAGGCCAGCTTCATAACAAAACAGGTAGTTTTTTCTTTCATCTTAAAATTTTTACTCACATTTCCCTGGAAAGTCTTTTAAAATAACTTTTTTGAGGGAAATACTCTCCATCCGTACCTAATTAGTGGCTGCTTCCTATAAGCAATAAAAAAGGCGCGTTTGCAGAAATCTCTTCAGCCTTTTCATTAAACTCAGGACCCCATCACTCGTTTCATGACGAGAGAGCCGAGGGGTGAGCCGAAGGGAGAGCCTCGGGGAGAGAGCCCCGCCCCGCCCCGCCCCGCCCACACTAGATCTGCTTAGAGCCCCGCCTCGTCCTTAGAGGTTCTAACCAATCCTGTAATCGCTAACGCCGTGGGCAGAGCTATCGCGAGACTCCAACGGTAGCCTTCAGGAGACTTTAACCGCATGGACCTGCGCAGAAGAGATTTATGAAGTCACTACGGAGAAAGGGGGCGGGGCGGGCGGGGCGGGCGGGGCGCCCCGACGTACGCGTTCATCTTGACCCCACGTTCCAGAGCGCGCCCGGTAGTCAGGAGCTGTTGTTTTCTGCGTCTCCAGGGAACCCCAACACAAACCAGCCTGAGGCGCGGCCTCAGGCGTATGTTGGATGGGTGGCGAAGGCGTTCTCGGGACCTGCTGGGACTTTAGAGGACCCCCGGTCCTGGTGCAGAGAGCCTCTTAAGAAACTTGAGAACCAGTTTAGGTAGGCGCTTGGGTGATGGAGGGTCAGGGGTCAGAGATTGGCGGGTGGAAGACTTCTGGAGGGAGACGGAGCCCTGGGGAGGAAGGACTCTGTTATTCTGGAGCCCCAGATGCTGAAGGGCTGACGGGAATCGGCAGCACTAGCCTCCCTGACCCTTTCCCATCCCAGACGTGCGGGCCTCTCGACTGCTAGGGCCTCCTCGGGAGAATGTGGGGCCGTGGGAAAGGACGCTCTCGTCCCCGGAGGCTGAGGCCTGCCGTATTTTGTTCTAGCGTCGGAGCGGCTATCGGTGCGCTCCTCCGCCATGCGGTAGCCTGTTCACGCTCCTGGAACTGCTTTTGAGTCGCAAGTAAACTGAGTGGGTATCGCCATGCGCTAAGGTAAGCCCCTGGAAGCTAGAAGTGGGCAACTGCCTGGCTTCGATACGCAGGGTTATAATGTAGTAAAAGGAGAAGCCAAATCTTTTAAATTAGTCTGAGTTCTCGTTACCTTTGGATTAGTAACAGTGGCCTTCAGAACCTCCCTTGCACGTTGTACATTTTGATTCCATGGTATTTGCCAGGTTTATAACTAAGATGTGTTACCTGATGGTTGACGGTCACTGTCAATCATACAAAATTATTAAGTAATGACCATTAAGGTTGTGCCTCATTTCTAAGTAACATTTCTAAGTAACATTAGCCACGAGGTAGAAATCCTAGGTGTTTGATGTTTTCTACTGGTATTTAAATTAACTTGAGGCTTTAACTGAAAAAAGTAAAATAATTTTAAAGTGATTACAGCTATTTTTAATTATTCCCTTGGGTGATAGCAAGAATGATGAAACTCCCATGAATGGAAATATCCACATCTGTATTATCACTAAAAAGACTACTTGATTTATGATCAGTAACTATGCTGGAGGCAGAATAGTAGTTAGCAGTGGTGGGTTGAGTGTGTCTATACTGAATAATCTGTGCTTCCTAGAGTTTTGCAGAACCTGTAAACTTTAATTAAAGCTGATAGTTGAAAATAAAATACATTACTTTTGAAAGACGCTATTTATTTTACATATCCTCTTTTGCTCAACCTAAAAGAACAGTACTTACAGAATTATTTTTAAAAATCTTTTATTAAAAGCTCAGGCTGATTAGATTTGGGGGAAGCAGAATCTATTACTGCTGCTTATAGGGCATTTTTCAAACTTATGTAACCTCTGTTTTTAGGGTTCAGTAGATGAATATACTTCTGTTGAAGTTTATCACTACAGAAGAAGATTGTGGTCATGCTAGATCATTGAGTGCTTTTCAGTCATCAGTAATCATTGAGCTTCCAGTAATGTCTGGGCTTACCTTGTGTGCGTTACTTTGGATAGCAGTGTGGCAAGTGTATACAGTACTCATTGTTGCCTTTAATACCCTAAACCTAGGCCTACCATAGATTTGTTGTAATTCAGGATTTGTATGTGTCTTTTAGTGGAGAGGGTAATAATTGGGAGGGAGAAAATCTGAATTTATGTTTAATTGATGTTCATTTGTCTAGTTGTCTTAGTAACTTAATATTTTATGTTTATTTTTCTAGAAACCTATCTTTGTTTTCTGTTAAAGATACAGGTTAGTTTTCTCTGCCTCATTCTGGCTGGAAAGAGTAAAGAATAGTTTCACATTACCTATAGTCTTCTAGAATATGGTTAAGAGACTCTTGTCCTAAAAGAAATGTGAGTAAAGTAATGTTAGGTCCTTAAAAAGGAGGAGGATGTTTAGGGAGTTCGAGATCTTTGCTTCACCTTTTTTTGTGTATCATTTCCATCCTGGCAGTGACCTGGCATTGAGGATACAATGCTGAATAAGATATTGTTCCTGCCCAGCTTTCAAGTAGTTCAAAGTCAAACAATTAAAAACACCATAGCAGATGGGATCAAGGAGGAGAGACCCCTAACTCAGCATGCCCAGTCATGGAAGGTTTTAGTGGGGAGATTGGGACAACAGGCAGAAAGGTGTGAAAAGGCATTTCAAGCAAATGCTTTTTACGTTTACGTGCAGAACAGTAAAAGTATGGTCCATATAAGAAACTGCATACAATCATGTTTTATCCAAACACTGATATTTAAGGATAAGGAGTAAGAAGTAGAACCATTAAAGATGGGATTCATTTGGTATGAAGAAAGCCAAGAGACGGATGTAGAATATGGCTAGATACACAGAGAATTTTACCAGTACTTACTAGCGGCCAATTAACATTATGGTCATAACTAGCTTTGACCAAATAATATCATCTCTGGTTCAGGAGGTTATTCCTGGATAGAGCTTCCTTAGGAAAAGAGTCAGTCAAAACAAGATTTCATTTTTTTTTAAATCATGAATATATGCTTAGTTCTGGTTTAAATGGCTGGGGTAGTACCCAGGCATCAGGATTTTTAAAAGTTCCCCCAAATGATTCTAATGTTTAGTCAAGTTTGAGGCATACAGACCTATGATCCTCTGTCCTGCCACATTGAAGTTTGGTTATTGTAGAATACAGTCTCTCGTGTTCTCAGGATAATAATAGCAACTACCACGACTGAATATGTGCTAAATTTCTGTTACTATGCTATTGTACCTACTTTATTTCTAAGCACAATCCTGCTGTCATCCCTTTCTAGAAATGAGAACACTGGCAGTGAAGTTAACTATTCCAGTGTCACACAGTAAGCACCAGAGCTAGAATTAGAATCTTCTATCCTGTGTGCCATATTGTTTGACAGATGTGAGGCTCTATAACCAATCATTTTTTTGAGCTTTTAGAGTTAGCGATTCATAATTACCATGTTATTAATACTGTGATTGGTGTGATAGATAAGTAACCAGCCCAGTTCTCTCCCTACCCCCTACCTCATATCCATGTTCTTTGCCATGAGCAATTCCACCCACTAAAGAAGTATAGTTGCCCCTCCTCTTGACATTGGCCTTTGGGACCTTGATGGTTTTGCCATGACCAAGCACTTTAAAAGTACTGTGTGATTGAGTTTACACTCTTACAGCTCAGCCATGGCTGTAAGAACATCTGTGGGCTGCTCCACTGTTCCACAAGGAGAATGAGAACTACATTAAGCAGAGCCAAACTGTTCCTCCAGAAACCTATGCTAGATTAGACAACCCTCAGCTAATCTGCAGCTCTATGAGAATATGTGGTTGCTGTTTCAAAGCATTGAGCTTTGGGGTGATATGTTATACATCTGTGGCCATAGTTAACTGATAAGCTGATAGAGCCTAACTTGCCAGAGTTCCAGCAGGATAACCAAATTTCAGTGTTCCAGCCCATATTATTCTTCCAAAATAAGAGAGGAGATAAGATGCTTATAGTTAACCATAGTTAGATACTGATTATAGTCTATTACCTGCACATTCATAAACCAAACAGTGGCTTAGGGAATGGAATTCTCATCATTGACAGATGAGCACTATGTGATAAGACTTTTTGCAGTTTTGAGAATGTTCTTGTTTGCACTAATACAGTACCCATTAGTTACATATAGCTATTGAGTGCCTGAAGTGTGACTAATGAGACTCAGAAGCTGTTTTTAATATTATTTAGTGCTACTTATTCAAAGTTAAATAGCCACATGCAGTTAGCGGCAACCTTGCAGGACTGAAACAATCTCCTGGGCTACCAAGGAAACCATCCTTCTAAGTCACAAAGCCACTGTGATCCTAAATAAGGGAAAGATTCTGTCAGCAGGGAAGGGTGTAGATCTTAGGTAGGTAAGAAATTTCTCAATTTGTTTTATTGTTCTAGAGTTCAGGTTACCCACCAGGAGAATTTGACAATGAGCGGCCGGCGGAAACGTGCCCCGCCAGTGAGAGCAGATGAGGAAAGGCGGCAGCAGCATTGTTGGAATATGCACGAGGACAGAAGGAATGAGCCTCTCACCTTGACTGATGACGAAGAGCTCCCCTGCCTTGGTCTGCATTCTCCCTCTGCTCACTCCATCATCCTAGATGATGATCTAAAGGACGAATTGTCTCCTAGAAATAAGAAAAGGTTTTTAGAGGCAGAGAGCATCTCAAATTCAGTCGATAAAGAAGATACTGGTGGTCTTTCTACCCCTTTGTCTATAAAGCTAAATATTGTGATTTCTCCCTATCACTTTGATAATTCTTGGAAAGCATTACTAGGAGAATTAACTCTTCAGCTTCTTCCTGAACAGAGTTTAATTGAAAATTTTTCCGAAAGAAGTTTTACACTTACGAATTTAGAGTCGAGCAATCAGTTCCTGATCTATATTCATTCAAAATACAAAGATGTAGAGAAACAAAAAAAACCTTGTCTTTGTGACAAGGGTATTCGAGTCAAATCATCCTTCAGTGATGAAATGTTCGAAGATCTGGGATGGCTGCAAAAGAAGAGAAGAATAAAACTTTATCAGAAACCAGAAGGAAATCACATTATCAAGGTATTCAATTTCTGTGGTGTCTTTTCAGAGTCTTCTGCATGGGGCAGTCCATTTCAAAGTTAATTTCAAAGGAAGGTCTATAAAGCCAGCAAAAAGCCTCTCATTATTAAGTTTCAAAGTACACTTTATTTTGGGCTTTCAGTAACTAGAAAAGAAATGTATATATTGGAGCTAATCATTTCCAGGCTGTACTTTTTCAAGGAGACCTTTCTGATTCCTCCTCCCAGGCTCTACTCTCAGTGACCTGTTTTGGTACTCATTACCTTGTCCTCTTCCTGTAGAATGCTTTAACCATTCCCCTGCTTGCCTTTTCAACTCCTTCATCTACTCTGTCTCTGGAATGGCATGATAGAAATGTAACTGGAATTCTGTTCTTTACTGCCTACAAAATGAGGTATAATTGGGCATATAAGTCCCTCCTTTCATAGTCCCTTGTCTACTTTTCTGGTCTTATCTGTCAGTCTTTACTTTGTCGTGAAAATTCCAGATTGATTTGTTTCCTACACATTCCCTGCCATGTTTTCGCATCTTTGCTTTTGCTCTCACAGTTCCCTCTGCCTGGATTGTTCCCTTCCTTTTCCCTGATAACTCCTGTTCATTAAACTCCATAGGTGGTGTTACATGCCCTTCTCCTGTAATACCTGATGCATTTGTTTCTTTTGGCCTTGGCTACTTTTAATGTAGTTACATTGTAGATCTTTCTCCCCCACTGGACTATGAGTCTTTTATCTTTACCTAGTAAAGTGCTTAGTGCTGAGCAGATTTTTGGTAAATGAATGAATCCATTGATAATCCATTTTAGGCTCTGCTAATCACTAGTGAAGTAACTTTATTTGAATGATTTAAATGCTCTGATCTCAGCTTCTTTCTGATGAAATGTAAATAATACCCATTCTTTTTACCTCATACAGTTATATGAGTCAGGTGAGATAATGTAAGTAAATCCTTTGTAAACTGTGAAACAGATGAATGTGCCTTCATTCCAAAACTTGAAAGGAAAATAAATTCTAAAATGTTAAATTCACCTTTGTTCATTTGAAAGCTATCTTGTACGTTTCTCATATTGAAAAGCATACATCATTAGCTCTATTTATAGTTTCAGAATTGACAGAAGGAAAGGAGGAAGTTTAGAAGATTTAAATTGTAATTCTTCCCTGGACAGTGAAACAGTGCAGCCAAGCAAGCATTCCCTCTGTGTTGATTGTGAGCCAAAATTGTGGCTCAGGGGTAACAACTTTGCAAGAATTCATCACTTGCATATCTGTGTTCTCTCCACCTTCCCCACATACCAAGTCTTGATCTATTTTCTCTGATCCTGATTTTTATCAGTATTTAAAAATTTATTGCTGCTGTATTAAATCAGCTCTGGGTGAACACAAGGAAAAATACAAATAATAACAAAATGTAATTTTTTTGCCACTCTTTCCTGTATAATCCTGGTTGGATTTTTGTTCTTTAGTGAAAGACTATGAGAATCTCAGTGATTAGGGAAACAAGTCCATAGTAATACAGGGAAATAAGGGAAACTGTTACTGAGTTTTTATGAAGTTCCATTGCGAATTTTTAAATTGTATTATCCAGGCTACTGCATGCAAGGTCTCCATTTTGCAAATAACAACATTTGGGTCACAGTAAATCAATTATTTTTAACCTGTTTACTTAGTTCCTAAGTAACAACACCAGTCCTCAAATGAAAGTGTTCTGACAGCAAAACTTCACACTATATTGCTTTACCGTAAACTAATGTTAAGGTCTGTTTTCCTATATATTTTAGTGTTTGATCACGTAATAGGGATTCCCAAATCTAACTGTGTTTAGCAATCCTTGCATGTTCATCAGAATCTCCTGGGCGAATCTGCATTTTTAACCAACTTCACCGATTATACTGATGCTCATCAAGTTTAGAAATTATTGACATAATAGGTAGAATTGGTGTTCTCATCACATTGTCCCAGGTTGAGTTTCAGCTAGGGAAGTATTTTTTCTAGCAACTTGAATGGTGCATTGCATATAGTAGGCACTGCATTTGTAAAATAAATCTTAATGTAAGTGAAAATATGTGAGGGTGATTTGGTAGGCATATATTTAGTGTTTGTTGATAAAATACTGTGTATACCTTTAAAAATGGTAATGGTAAAAAATGTTTTTCTTATTTTCTCATTAAGAATGGTACAATATAATTAAAACTTTTTTTCCATTAATTCCTTGTAGGTTGGAATTTATCTTTTGGAAGATGGCCTAGTGAAACTAGATTTTTTGAGTGATACAAATTCAAGAATGAAGAAGTTCAATCAACTCATGAAGAGAGTGATGGAAAAGTTGTACAATTTTATTATTCCAGGTAATTTTTTAAGTAAACTTTAAAGTTGCTATTAACTATTAGTTGTGAGTTTTCCCCAACTCCTGTACATAACAACCAGAAAAGCAGCTAATAAAACCATAATAAATTTCTAAAAGCTCCATAAAACTACCATATGACAAAATTGTACTTATCTGAAATGCCCCCACAAATATAATTTGTGTCTATATTTGCTTAATACTGTGCTTAGCTTATAGTAAGCACTTAAGAAATGTTTACAGAGTCTTCAGATCTAAAAGAATCTGAGCTGACTAGAATTTTTGCATTATTCCTGTGCTTTTATTTGTTATGGCCAAACATCTTGGCTGGCCTTCATTCCACCTCTCCTCTGCAGTCTGACAAATAATCTCAAGAGACTGCTTCCCATAAAGACCAGTAAACTTGCCACTGGTCCTTAGCAAGACATGGCATCTGTGGCCAGGACTGCAACTTCACAATTGTCTGCCATTAGTTCCCAGGTGGGAGTGTTGATGGTTTGGCGCAGACCATTAACACTACTGGAAAAATAGCTCAGATTCTCCAATCTCTGCTCATGGTGGGTCAGAATTATTTCAGGTGCAAATTGTACAGTATTTTCATACTGTATTTTTTGGGAAATCAGTTTGACTGTGGTTTCTCTAGTACGTTCTTTGTAAAGTTTCATAATACTAATGAAAGTAAATCATTTTGTATGTTAAAGACTTAAAAGGAGGAAATTTTCTGGTTTCAGAATTAGAAGGAATGCTTTTAAATACATCTAAAGTTTTTTTAAATTATTATGATTAGAATCCATTATTCCACTTTGTAAAGATAATACTAGTTGAATTTTTCAAAGGAAGACTTTAATTTAGTTATCAATACTAGATTATGTAGCTATAGTAGCAGTTTGAAATAACCAAGCATATAATTAGACATTAATTGTAAAATTTTGAGAATCCTACGTGGCATATTTTTTATCGAGATAAGTGAATTATCTTTTTTTCTTATACAGTATTTTTGTTTTAGAGCATATGAGATATGTCCTATTAGTGTATAAGCCTTTGTGAAACAGTTCAGAAATAAATTATTAGCTAAAAGTGGCTCATAAATTTGTTAGAGATTTTGAATTTTTTTTAATGTTATAATAGCTACAAATCTTCTTCCACAGGGGAGCTGTGCTCAACAAATGAACATGATATTCTTGTAAATTTTTATTAGTGGCTTATGCACTTATCTCCTAATTGGTGGCTGATGTTATCAGCTGTCTTTTGTAGCATATAAAATAGAATGGGAGCCCTTGTCTTATTAGACATAGAAAAATTGTCTGCATACAGATTCTTTTTATATTGAGATGTAAAGGTGAAATAAATTGTCATTTTATAAACTGTAAAAGATACTCAGTTCTCAAATTTTTATTGAATACCTACAATGGGCAAATCATGTGCCAGCTGCTCTGAGGAGCTATAAAACATACAGACTTTTACCCTCAAAGAGCATCACAGTTTAGTGCAGAAGGGATGAATATACATAAATGATTATACTACTAGACAGACTCCAATGTATTGATATATCCAAATTATCAGAGTATTACATGAAAACAGAGGGGAACATTAATTCTAACCAAGGAAAACAAGAAAATTCCATGGAACAAGTAGCAGTCGAGCTATCTTAAAGAATAGATGGGTAGGTTTTTGATCAGTGAATAATTAAAGATAAGACCTTTCAGTCACAAAACACTGAGCAAGCCCCAGAGTTGGGAAAGTACAAGGTATGTTATTGGAATAGAATTGCTTTTAGTTACACAAGGTGGATCAAGTTGTTTAGAGTACCTTTGTTGTTGGGTGTACAGATGTGTTGGAAGAGGATGAAGATGATTCAGAGAGTGAGCCAGAGGGACAAAACATTGATAAGCTCTATCAGTTTGTGAAGCAAATACGTCAGCGAGAATCACAGTCCATCCAAGTGGATGTCCAGCATCCTGCGCTAATGCCTGTGTTGAGACCATACCAAAGAGAGGCCGTCAGTTGGATGCTACAACAAGAGCATTTTTGCAGAAGCGTTCCTACTGGTGGCAAGTATAAGATGCTTACAGAGGGGCAGATTAGCCAGAGAGGTTATGTGAAAGATAGTTAGGGTGAGGGGAAATTGAACATTAAAGAAACCATATTGAAAAAATAGGATAGAATGGGTGTTACTATAAGCAAAATTATTTCCTAAGAAATCTGTCAAAATTGAAATCTAGGGAAGTTCTTTTGTGAGTTCTCTCACCTGTAATACTTGGAACTGATTTTTCCCACCAAGTAAAGGCTGTTTTGATGGGAATTTTTAAAAACCAAGAAATATTTTACATGCCTTTCCAACAAAAAGTTGCCTTTAGAACCTGATCAGATAGGAATCTTGCTAATCATCTTCAAGAGGCTTCACAATTTGACAGTAAATGTGACAGAAAGCAAAATTGCCAAAAAGGTGGAAGACTTAACATGTGACTAATCTAATTTTCCTATGTTTGCATTATTTTCTTTACTCCACAAAATAAAAATACATTATCATTGTTTTCATGAAAGAAGTAGATTTGGGGGAGTCACTTAATGCCACTTCTTTATCAATATATTTAAAAGAGATGGGCATGAGACTTTCACATGATCCTAGGAAGTGAAATGTTCCTATTTGTCTTTCTTCCTATGTAGGTTTATTTTAATGATGAATAAGCGCTGATTTATTTCTCCCATGAGTTGCAGTTTATACCTCTTTATCCAACAAAGTCCATTTTTTAAACTTCTTATTTTGAAAAATAAATATCAATTCGTAACCAGTTACTTCTTCCTACTTCTCCTCCTCCTCCCATACTCTGATTTATTTTGAAGTAATAATTCCACATACCATACCACTTTATCTGTTAATAGTCCTGTTTATTTCATTAACATACAAAGGTTTTTTAAAACATGTATATATAATAATGAATTTTAAAATCCAGTAATTCCTTAATATCACCAGTGTCTCTCTCTCTCCTTTCCCCCTTCTGTTTCTCTATTACACTTGGTTTAAATCTGAAACCAAATAACCTCCATACTTGAGAATTAGTTGCTGTCTCTTAAGTTTCTTATAATCCATAGGCTTTACTGTCAGTCTCATTCTGTTTTTTTCCTTAAAATTTATGTATTGAAAAAATTGTTAGCTCTGTAGAGTTTCCCACAGGTTGGATGATTTTTTCTACAAAATGAAGTAATTTTTTTTTTACTAAGGTATAACTTACATACAGTAAAATGCACAAATCTCAAGGGCACAGTTTGATAAGTTTGGACAAATCTATGCATCTATGTAACCAGCAGCCCAACTAAGACATAGAATTAGACTTGCCCAAAAGTAGCCACAAGCCACACATGCCTCTTGAAATTTGAGATGTGGTTATCCAAATGATGTGCTGTAAATTTAAAATATACACCAGATTTCAAGCAGTACCCAAAAAGGGATGCAAAATATCTCATTGATCATATATTGAAATGGTAATATTTTGGTTATGTTGGGCTAAGTAAACTGTTAATTCTTCCTGTTTCTATTATCCTATCATAGAATGCTGACAAAAATATTTCCATCACTTCAGAAAGTTCCTTCTTGGCCCAGTCATTTATTCTTCATCCCCTTAAGAAGGCAACCACTGTCACCAAAAATTAGTTATGCCTGTGTTTGAAATAATAAATGGAATGCCAAAATATGTATAGTTGGGGGAGTAGAAGGAGTTAGCTTCTTTCAACATAATGTTTTTGAGATTCATTCACTCTGTATGTATCAGTAATTTATTCTTTCTTGTCCATAGATTGGATTTTGTTGATTACATCCCATGTGTCAGCTAATTCTTTGGTTCCCGTAATTGAAACTTTTTATTTTTTTCATTTTGTAAACTCTGTGTACCTATATAACTACTGCATCCATTAATCCCTAAAGAAGGCAACAAAAGATAATTTGCTGTTTCTCTGATTAGTAAAGACATACTTCCTATTTGGCAATTGGTTTAAACAACTTAAAATATTAAGGGAAAGTGGAAAATACAGTTTGAACAAATTTAGTACTTATGTGTTAAAGTACTAGATGTTTTTTTCTCAGTGACTTTCCTCCCACTCTCAGACCCATATTAACCTTATTTGGGTTAATGTATTTGTCTGCTAGCATATGTCTGTTAAGTTATTTAAAAACTTACGGCAACTTTTTGAGAGATTTATAAAAGACAAGCTTCTTTCCTTTATTGGGTAGGAGTTAGCTCTATGTATTAGTTTTCCTTTCCTGTTAATCCCTTGTAATTTGCTATACTTCGTTTTTATGTCTTATCATTTGCTTATGTGGAAAATATTTGTGACCAAAACAAAAGGAGGCAAAGAATAATACCTGAAAAATATTATTAAAAGAAAATAAAAGAATAATATCCGAGTTTTTTTTCATGTGTATGTGACTTCCCAGGGAATCCTGTTAACTTATTTTAATGTGATTATCTGACAGAGAGGAAAACAGACAAAACTTGTTCTTACTATTATATTTTTCTTTAGAAAATGCCTTGCACTTCTTATGGCGAGAGATTATTACATCTGAGGGTTTGAAACTCTACTACAATCCATATACTGGCTGGTAAGGTGAAACTTTATATGCTTGAAATTAAAATAAATACAATGAAAACCTGTACAAGATTGGTAGCATATGTTTTTAGCCTTGGCAGTACCTCAAGAAGAACTACTAATTTAAAGTCTTAATAGGCATTTTTATAGATAGGATAGATATGGTATTCACAGATTCATAAAGGTCACAAAGAAGGCAGACATGCTTCTTTCATTTATAGAAGAGGAAAAAGTGTTGAGTATTTACCAGCACCACTCCTGTCTCTGTAGTCTTAGTTGTCAGCTCAAGCAGTTTTTTGATTATCACAGTTCTTATAGTCATGACCTAGGGATTTGAATTGTTTCATCCCAAAATGTAATTTCAAGAAACTTAGATTTTTGTGGATTTCTTCCATTTCTTTTCAGGAATAGTATAATTTTTACATGCATGCCTGTGATGTGTCTTTCTTGTTTTTTCCTTTAGCATTATGCGTGAGTACCCAAATGCTGGGCCACAGTTGCTTGGTGGAATCTTAGCAGATGAAATGGGTCTTGGAAAGACAGTGGAGGTTTTGGCTCTGATTCTGACTCATACTCGACAAGATGTCAAACAAGATCCTCTCACTCTTCCTGAGGTAGGAGGAGTGCTGTAGGGCTTGGGAAAGCAGGGGACATATGTTCTCAAACAAAGAAAGCATCATATGTTGAACATTTGCTTGGCACTTAAGTCAACACTTCCAGTTTACTCTGCAGCTAATGATTTAAGTGGGCGCAGAGAATGGGATGTTTGTGACCTGGCAGAGTTTTTTTTACAAGCTGTTGGCCAACTAGGAAAGGAGTATGCTGCCACTTACTGAGTTTCCTTCTCGTTGGCTGATAAACTCTCTTAAGGAGACTCCTGTTACTTCCTCAAATGTTCTCTCACTCCTACATGTCTTCATATTACCACTAAATATTCTTTAGACTATTTTTAAAAACCTGTACAAATCTCTGATATGTAAATCTTAGAATCTAATCATTAGAACTTTGTTAAATAAGTAGCTTAGCAATTAGATTGCTAGGTGAAACGAACCCTAAGTCTAATATATTTTGTTCTGAAATACATCATGTTGAAAAATAAATCCTAGAGTTTACAAACACAACAATAACAAAACTGAGGCAAGTAGAGCTTATAACTCATATTTTCCAGTAATGAAATCTAAAATCAGCACATTAAATCTTGCAGAAATGAGACCACTGCTTAAGGGTATAACTGTAATTACATGTAGGGCCCACCATTCTCACAGCCTTGGTGATTATGTGATCTTTTGATAGGGTCAAGTTTGTATTTTGAGTAGGGAACCAAAATACCTCTTTGTAGAAAAATGAATTGGAGTGTACAGTTTTAACAATCTGGTGACTTCCTTTTGGGATTTTCTGCTTATTAGCTGTTTTAAATCTAAGTTACTTTTGGTGCTGTTATAAATTCAGTGGGTTAATTCTATATTTAAAAATTAATTTAGAAGTTCTACTCTTAATATTTAGATAATTTAAGATAATACTCAGTTTTAAAAAGTGATGGCTAGCTATAAACCCTTAAATAAAAAAAAGCGTGGTTTGTGTATATGAACAGCATATTTAACCCTTTCATAATTTTTTACAACTCTTTCATTTCCTTAATAGGAGGGTTAATTTTTTTATTAAAGTATTTATTAAATCCTCACCCCCTCTAGTGCAGTAACTATCTATCAATGTAGAAAAATGTTACAGAATCATTGACTATATTCAAAGGAGGGTTAATTTAGTAAGTAATTCACAACAGTGAAAGCAAAACACTGTGTGACTACTGAATGTTGTTTCTATCAGGGAAAAATGGTGAATTATTTCATTCCATCACATTATTCTAGAGGAAAAGTAAATAACACAGAAACCCGAAATATGGAATTTAGACCAAAAGAAAAAGTTCAGTGTCCCCGTAAGTATGAAATCTCTTAAAGAAAACACTTTTTACAGTGATCTTTGTTCTAATTCTTAAAATCCTTATATAGAGATATCTTTCAATTGGTATGAGTAATTGGTTTTATAGTTGTTTATACTTCACGTAAGTGGATTCAATTACAAGCCATATTATCTTAACAAAAGTAAAGATTTTTCTTTCAGTTGACTCAGTCTAGCTGGTTCTTGCTCAATTTGTTATGTTTAAGTTTCTTTAATGTACAGTTTAAACCAGACTTTCTTTATTCTCAAGCATAGCTGCTTCACATTCTGCTAGCAAGTGAATGTTTTCCCTTACTAAGGTAGCATTTACATAGGTAGCTTATACATAGATTACTGTGTATAAGTTTTTTTATAATTTTAGATGATAGTTGTCTTGTAAGATTAACAAATTAATGGGTAATTCTTCCTTAAATTATTTCCATTACAGTCATTTATTTCTTAGTGTGTTAATAGAGTTTTGTTACATATTCTTCAAAATGATGATGTACAGACAATGTATCTTTAGTAGATTTGTTTCATTTTTTTTTTTGGTCCTAAGTGCACATTAAAATTTACTGAATTTTATTTTCTTTTAACTGCTGTGACTGAGTAGCTTATCTTTTTGTATTTAGCTACACGTGTGATGATCCTGACAGCTGTGAAAGAAATGAATGGGAAAAAAGGTGTTTCCATGCTTTCCATCTATAAGTATGTCAGTTCTGTATATAGGTATGATGTTCACCGGAACAGAAGTCTTCTGAAACGAATGCTGAAGTGTTTAATTTTTGAAGGTCTTGTGAAACGGATCAAAGGCCATGGTTTTTCTGGAACTTTTACATTGGGGAAGAATTATAAGGAAGAGAATGTGTCTGATAAAGCAAAAAAGCAGGTAACAGAGCATTTATTAAGTACCTATACATATGTGATGCCCTCCCAAATGAGCTGAAAGATCTCACCTTAACACTGAAGGACAAGTCAAAGTGGATTGACCAGCTTGTCTACTGTGAAAGAAATGGCATATAAAAAGTTGCTTTCCTAGAATAGGGAATCTATAACATATTTTTCTCCATCCAGGGTAGAAGACTGCAATGAACTTCTGTACTTTTAGTAACCCTTCTCTCACCAAAAGAAGAAAATCTCCCTCCATTAATGCCATTCCTTCCATGTTAAGTGCCCTAACTCCTCTGTTCAACCTTGGCTCTGACATCACTTGGATGAGCTATTGCCATAGGTACCTCCTCACAGCCCCTCTCTACTACATAGACATTCCTATGGCATCGTCTTATTTTTACTGTTCTCTCCTTTCCAACAGACCCCTTTGAGATCAGGGCATACATATTTGTATCCCCAGATTCAAACACTGTGTCTGGCACAGAACTGGCATTCAGTTTATAACTGCAGGAGGGGGACACAGATAAAAAGAAGAAAGAAAAAAGAAATTTTTTTGCTAATTGCAGGAACTAGTAGATTCACTTTCTTTAAATGTTGTATTTCAGCAATTGGTATTTTTATAATTGTCCTAGTTTATATATTTATTTATTATAAACTACAAAATACCTTGAACAACATGGGTTTGAATAACAAGGGTCTACGTACGCATGAACTTTTTTTAGTAAATATATTGGAAAATGTTTTGAAGATTTGCAACAATTTGAAAAAACATGTTCCCTTCTCTAGATTGCTTTGTTGTAGGAATATAGTATGTAATACGTGGAACATACAAAATATGTGTTAGTCAACCAACGGTAGCCTATTAGTTAAGTTTTAGGGGAGTGAGAAGTTATACTTAGATTTTCAACTGCACAGGGAGTCAGTATCCCAACCCTCACATTGTTCACGAATCAACTACACTGCTCTTACTGATTTAAACAGACTGTCAGTTACAGTAGGTTGATACCAAAGCATTAGCACCTTGCTTTATCTTCCTAATTTTTGTTCTCCAAATCTTACTTCTACAGTTGTAGAGCCTTCCTTTTCTTTTGGAGCAGCAGGCTATAGGGAGGGTTTTTATAGAGGGCAATTTGAAAGCCACTGATGAGCAGTGATTCTCCTTAGGGAAAAGGGTAGCAAAAACTGGCTACTGGATTGTTATACAAAGCACATAGAGTTGAGATTTAATACCAGAAATATAACTATGTTGAAGTAAATTAATTAATATTTTTCATAGGCATTAGGTAGTCCAAGGAAAATTCAAAAAGAATCCAGAAAATCAGGAAGCAAAGACACAGATTCTGAATACTTCCCCTCAGACTCTTCTGATGATGATGATGATCCTTATTATTACTATAAGCCCAAGAAAAATCGTAGTAAATTGAGGAAAAATCTTGTTCCCCCTGCAAAAAGGAGAAAAAGTCAGCCTAACATAGATCTCAATTCACAAAATCACTGTCCAGCTACCAGTGACTCTGGAATTACTGATGTTACCATATCTGAAAGCACATATATCTTTGAAGTGAATCAAGAACATGCAACAGAGGGCCAAGGTGGGTCTTCACACCCTGTTGGTGGCAATGTGCCACATGCTAATATCATGAGTCCTTTTAATTCCTCTGATTATCGCTTTGAGTGCATATGTGGTGAACCTGACCAGCGAGACCATAAGCTGCGTGTTCAGTGCCTGAAATGCCACCTGTGGCAACATGCAAAATGTGTGAATTATGAAGAGAAGAATCTGAAGATTAAGCCTTTTTATTGCCCCCACTGCTTGGTTGCAATGGAGCCAGTATCATCAAGAGCAACTCTGATCATCTCTCCCAGCTGCATCTGTCATCAATGGATAGATGAAATCAGGAAACACGTGAGGTCATCATCTCTTCGTGTATTGGTAAGGCAAGTTTGGACTCTTTAAAGGGATAAGAAAATGTAAACTTTTGCTTCTTCATGATAGTTTTTATATAATTTTGGTTACTTTGTTGTTTGTACCAAAAATTAATTTTATGAGGTAATAAAATACTGAATCAGAACTTTAAGAGGAAATTGAGAATAAGAAATAGTACAGTAGGATGAATTTTTCTGACATCAGAGCTTTAGTAGTTAAGCACTTGGGGTGGAAAGATGTGAAAATTTTTTAAGAAATTGTTTATCCTGTATATGAAAAAGCCTTTATGTAAGCATTTAAAATCTCAAAGATGCCATCCAAAGGCAGCATTGTGTTAGAGTCACTTTTTGTCTCATCTGCCAGCTCTTAGCTCCAGAGTAGTCCTCTGAAGCTTCAGTTACCTTATCTGTAAAATAAGAATGTACTCAAGTCAGCAAATAAATGTTAAACCTGTTGTGTGCCAGGAACCATGCTAAGTTCTGAAAATAGTTCCCCCCACCCACCCACAGACTTACAACAATGAAATGGTTTGCTGAAGTGCTGGCATGTGGTACACAGTCATTTAATATTAGTTAGTATTCTTCACTCCCTTTGTTCTTTTCTTCCTTTCCATTGCAAATGTTATTGAAGGTTTTCTATATTTCAGTCACTAGCATAGTCATAGAGAATAGAGTAGTAAGTAAAACACCTTCTCTGTCATTGAGGACCTCTGTTCTCTGGGGCAGATAAACTAGGTTTGAATCTTTGCTCTACGCAAATCATTTCATGTTTCTTTTGTATGGGATTGGAGTGACAACTACTAACGGGGTTGTTGTTAAAGACAGAAGTAAAGTATATAGCACAGTGTCCAAAATATAAGAGGCATTCAGTAAATAACTCTTACTGTTCTACTTCTTCATACCAATATGCTTTTGCATCTGCTATTGATTCCATCTACCTACCTACCTGTAAGTCATTTTCCCCTTTTCTCCAAAACCTCTGAGAACTCCTAAATGTTCTTTAAGATCCACCTCACATTTTAACTCCACAAAGTTTACCTTCTCACCATAGAATTGGTCTTCCCGCTGCCACATTTACCTCTGTTACATTTCCTTTCACATTGCTTATGTTATTAGTCTTCCATGCTAAAATGGGTCCTTCTCCAGAAAGGTATGGGATGCATCTCATAGCATGTTTGGTCCTAAACAGATAGAAAGGGCTCCGTTAAGGTTACAACTGAAGGAATGTTTCAATTGTGAGCCTCTCTGCAGTAACTGTCTGTGCCGATTATTTCCTAGGTATATCAAGGAGTGAAAAAAGATGGCTTTTTACAACCTCAGTTTTTGGCAGAACAGGATATAGTTATCATTACCTATGATGTCCTTCGTTCAGAACTAAACTATGCAGATATCCCACACAGCAGTAGTGAGGATGGGCATTGGCTACGGAACCAGAAGCGCTATATGGCTATTCCCAGTCCACTCGTAGCCGTGGAATGGTGGAGGATCTGCCTTGATGAAGCTCAGATGGTTGAATGTCCTGCCATAAAAGTGAGAATTTCTGCAGCATCTTTTGAGGGTTGATAAAGACAAAAGAGGAGACGCATTGGGGGAAGCTGTCCAGAAAAAAATTTAATAATTTAAGTATAGTTAACCCACAGCATTGATGTTGACCAAAAGTTTCCTGTTAAATACTCCATGTTTGCTTTTCTCTGGTACTTTGAACTGCATAACTCTTAAAAATTACTTTGGTACTCAGAATCATTGCTCTATGTGCAATGCCCATGTGTATTTGAATAAGATGCAAATCAAAGTAAACTAAGGACTTCTATAAGCATTTCTGCTAAACAGAAAGCTTGTCACATAGGCTCTGATAGCTTTGGGCCAAGTGGACTTTGGTAGTTTTTTATCAGAGAGACCAAATGGTAACAGAAAGTACCACTTTAGAAGATAGAATTTTGATTCAGCCTTTCGTTGTCATATTGCTTTATTCTGTCTTCTTCAGCCAGTTTGTAACCAGAATTGAGTTTGTGAATCATGTCTATTAGTACAGTGGTTCACATCTGAACGATGCAGTGGGCAGTCATTTAGGGGACCTTTTCAGGACGTACCTTTTCCTCTTTGTGGGGCGTAGGGGGTGGGCAAAGAGGAGCAGCCTCCTGCTAACAAGAGCCACTGTACTGGAGTCCCATTGAATATGCCGTTCAACATTGTGTGTGATGACCATATATAAGAATAAATACATCTGACCTGAAGCATAGCTTTTCATGGGCTATTTTCATAAGCAAACATATTCCTGGTTTTCTGTATATTCTCTTTTTTATTTCATATTTTTCTTTCATTAGGCTGCAGAAATGGCTCAACGCTTGAGAGGGATTAATCGCTGGTGCATCAGTGGCACTCCAGTGCAGAGAGGATTGGACGGTAATACATGGTTTCCTCACGTATTGCATATCCTCTAAAAGCTTAAGTTTTCTGAAGAAAAAGTATTGTTATATTTAACCTTTTACTGAAGTACTTATTTTAAGTGATTATACATATATTTACACTTGACTCCTAATAGTTTCTGGCATTCATCTTTTTAAATGGAATCAGGTGATTTTTGTTTGTATCTGTGAGAACAGATTATATGAGTAACTAATCCTGTGTCCTATGTTGAACGGTTATCGTGCCTGCCTAAACAGGTAGATTGGATTTGAATTGAACTCACTGTTTCAAAGTGGTAGATAGAAAATAGAACCTGACAAGGAGAAAAAAGAAAAAGGAATTCATGTCAATTGGCTATGTCTATAAAAATCAGGCCTGCAGTATTCATTGACTGAATTCATACTGTGGGACCATAATTTTAGTAATTATAAAAGTTATAAAATATTAATAGCTAATAGTGTCACCCTGTGTACTTACACCATTATTCCTTCAACCCCTCCTCCTCTTAGACATTTAGAGTGTCTGGTTCTCCCCTCCCTGTCACACATACATATATGTGTTCACCTCATTCATATAACTTACTTTTTCCATAGAGCAGATATTGTATTTATTAAACTTTTATTCAAGTTGTAAATACCTGAAACAAAGTTTAAGTGTTTTTTATGTAATCAATTTCATGAAAACCTGAATTAAAATGTATGTTAATTATAAAATATGAATATCCTTGGAGTCCTGTGGCAAATAGTCATCCTCAAGACTCATCTTTTTGAAAATTCAGGTTTTTATATATCGTTTGTTTTCAGCAGGATAATTACCACTCTGCTAAAATAAAAATGTCAGCATCCATTGCTGTGGCCTGAAAAGCTCATTTTTTTCAATATTTATTTTTGTAGGGAAAAATATTTTCTGAAAAGATTTTTTAAGTATACTTAAATATTTGCCTAATTTTAGTTAAGTTACATGAAGATATATTTATAGGGTAATACCAGGCTAATTAAAAGAGCAAATTTAGTGGCACACTGTTAAATTTGGGAACTGCCCAAACTATGTATATTTAGGTATTACTAAGGATCTCTTTAGCTCAGAAATGCTCTGAGAAGATACAAAAAAAAAGAAAATGACCATCAGTTACTTTTTTCTAATTTTAATGTTGAAAGAATATGAGCATTTTGGATATGTAAGATATTGGCAGGTGGGTTGAGCTCTTAATTCTTTATTTCTTTTAAAAACAGCTTTATTAACCCTTAAATAGAATTCGTGCCTCATATCGAATTTACCGAGTATCATAATTCCTCCAGGTGGTAAAGATACCTTGAGACAAGTGCTGGGCATAGAAGCCACAGGGCATAAATCTGCAAAGAAGTAAAAAGCTAACCTTTTCAAACAATATGGCTTCTCTCTCACTTACCAACTTTACATTTCCCTGTATGGCCCCGGAAGATGACTGGTTAGCCAGAGACGGGTAAGATTCCTCAAGGGAGGAACAACCTAAGACAGGCACAGTCGCAGGGGGGCCATCAGGTGAGAAATTGGGGATCAACAGAGGTGAGGCTCAGAACTTCACCCCCCCTGTTCTGAGACAAATCTTCTGCTGCATCCGTGGATGTTTTGCTGCCCTTGTCTAGCTTGGATTAATACTTAGCCTATAGGCACACACCTGATCATCTACATTTGCCCTCTTACAGCACTAAACTATGTTTTCTACCTTTATCTTGCATCTACCTACCACTTCAGCATTTTATTAAAAATAAAAATAATAATAATAATAAAGGGAGAAATGTGGGATCCACATATAAATCAAGTATAAAAATCAAACAAATATTCATATTTGACCTGATTGTTTATAGTTCATAATGCGTGATCAAAACCGAAAGTTTCTGTGATGAATGCCCTTGTACTGTTCACCATTTAAGAATTTATTCACTATGTAAGAATTCGTTCACCATGTAAGAACTTGTTCGTTATGCTTCAGAAGATTGGAGACTGACGAGAATTAGGCTTGAGATGGATTAATGATTGTGCATTGAGCATTGACCCCCCTGTACAGAATTTTATTGTTGTTAACAACCATTTGATCAATAAATATGAGAGATGCCCTCTCAAAACTAAATATTTAAAATGTAAAATTTGTGAACTTTTGACATATGTGTATACCCATGAATCCATTTCCATAATTGAAGTAATCTCACACTGAAGTTTCCTCATGCCCAAGTTACCTGATTAAAGCTTTTCCAACTTCTGTGTAATTTTAGTTTATCTTTTCTTCTTTGCTCCCATAAGTCTCTGATGTCTTTAATAGTATGACTCGTGCAGTGTATTTATTTTCTTGTAGTTGATTCAGTGGGACTGTTAACCTGCCATGACTTAGTATGTTGTATTTGAAAGTGGAAGTCTCTCATTGTTTTATTTTGTATTAAACCAGGGCTTCTCAGTCTTGGCCCCATTGACATTTTGGGCTGAATAATAATTTTTTATTGGAGCTGCCCTGTGCATTTAGGATATTTAGCTTCTTCCTCCTAGGTGCTGGTAGCATTGCTGCACTTGTGACACCCACAGATGTTTCCAGACATTGCCAGATGTCCCCTGGGGGGCACAAAATTATACCCTTCCACCTCCACTTCATTTGAGAACCACTGTGCTAGACAGAGATAAATCAGATTTGATGATTTATTAATTAGCAACAACCAAAGATCCTTGTGAATCCCAGGTTTGCCACTTGTTAAGCAAGGAAATAAGGCTTGGATGTTTTTATTTTGTAATTGCCAGGCCTTTACTATGTTTCTGTGGGCAGGCTGAAATGTCAGTCTACCTGGAAGGTCAAATAGTCAAGAACATTGCCTTCTCCTCCCATCCCTCTATGTCCATATATTATACTTGTTTGTATAGCATACAAAGCATTGGCTTTGAGGGATATATAAATCTTGGTTCACTTATCCTTACTTAGTTGTATGTCCATAAATAAATTGCTAAACATTCAAATCCTATTTTCCTTATTTGTAAAATAAGACATTTTAAAGTTAATAATAATGTATGTAAAACATTTAGCACAATACTTGGAAGATATTAATATTAAGTGAATGGTAGCTGATTCCACTCCTGCTTTTGTTGTTTTATTTTCTGTTTATGTATTTATTTGTTTTAGTTTGTTTGAAAGTGTTGATGTCAAATAGCATAAGTACTTGTGGTACATTTTTCTGTTGGCTCATTCATTCTTTGTTAAGTACAATAGGAAACTAGACAAGGTCTCTGACCTGATTGTGGTTAGATTTATGTTTCAAAATATGCTAGTTGCAAGGTGGAGAATGGCAAGTGTGAATAGTAGACTACCAATAGGTTTGCTACAATAAGTAATCTGGGTAAGTGGTGTTGGCACTTTGGATTTGGACTAGGATTGTCCTGAGGAAATGAAAACAAGTGGGTATGGAAAAATTAATAGTCCTCCTTCAGTTATCAGGAAATGCCAAGACTTCAGACTTTCACAACTACATAGTTTGTGACAGTATATACAAACTGAACAGCACTTAAAGAGAAGCATCTTTGGGCAAAAAGACTGTGAATTTGATTTTAGCAAATTGAGCTTGAGGCACATCTGGGATCGCACATCTAGGTGATTGGATTGATTTGAGCAGAAAATACAAATCTGGATATCTGCATACAGGCAATGTTTTTTTCAGATGGTTCTGACTCGGGAATCATCAAAGTAACTTAATTCAACCTAAATATATGTTGGTCATCTTCAGAATAAATATAGGTAGAGTCCTATCCTTTAAAAAAAAAAAGTTTATGACTTCTAAAGAGAATATATGCCTGTTGTGAACATGTCTAACAATACAAAAAAACGTAAAGAAAAAAATTACTATTCAGCCATAAACTTCATTTGAAGACAACCACCGTTCCAACATTTTCCATGTATATGTTTATATATTTGTGCTCATACTGCACGCATGATTTTATTTTTTTTCACTTACTATTATGTATAACAAAGCAGTTTTACTGCTTAGGGTATAATGTTAAGTGGACAAAAATACAGAATATAATATTCAGTGTGTCACAGACTCCAAGAAGGGACTAGCGGTTACCAAAGGAAAGGGGGTGTGGCGCATGGGTGGGGAGGGAGGGAGAAGGGGATTAAGGGATATTATGATTAGCACACGTAATGTAGGGAGCATGGGGAAGGCAATAGCAGAGAAGATAAGTAGTGACTCTGTAGCATCTTACTATGCTGATGAACAGTGACTACAATGGGGTGTGGGGTGGGGACTTGATAATATGGGTGAATGTAGTAACCACAGTGTTACTCATGTGAAACCTTCATAAATTTGTATATCAATGATACCTTACTAAAAAAAAAAAGATTCAGTGTGCCCCAGTCAAGAAATATGTAAGTACCATGTTCTAAATCAAACACACACAGGATCTGCTGGATAAAAAAAAGAAAGGTTCTGTCTTATGGGAAGTACCATAATTTATTTAATCATTCTTTTATTTGAGTCATTTTTAGTCTGTATAGTATTTCTGTGAACAATCACTGTATGGGTAAATTTGTCTCTATTTTTTGTTGTCTTGGGCTTTTATTTCCTGTAAATAAAATTATTAGACCAAAAAATATGAGGAATATTGGATTAGAGAATATGTAATTAGAATTTTTGTTTCTAATTCAGCAAGTCTTGCATCCATTAGTTTCAATGCATGGTTCTTATATATCCCTTGATCAGGCACACACAGTTGAGTACTTTCCTGGGTTTACTTCTTCTGATGGAAATTTCAGACTTTTGAATGAAGTACAAGACTTGTGTAAAAGTTCTGTAAACTTCAAAACATTTTTTAGCTCTTAGCATAAAACCTAGAGCAAATTTATGCTGAGTAATACCTAAGTTGAAGTGAAATTCACCTTCAGATTTGAGAGCCTGTACAATCTGCATTTTAAATTATAGAAAGTACTATGTGCTCTGTGATGTCTTTGAAAGTGATTTTTCAGAATAATAATGTAGAAATACAGGAACAGTTATTCTATGTTTGTTTGTTTGTTCTTTTCAGATCTTTTTGGATTAGTGGTCTTTCTTGGTATTGAACCTTACTGTGTCAAACACTGGTGGGTTCGACTTCTCTATCAACCTTACCTCAAGAAGAATCCTCAGCTTCTGTACAACTTTATTGCCAAGATATTGTGGAGGTCGGCAAAGGAAGATGTGATTGACCAAGTCAGTAGGATAAGTTTTTGTTGATTAAGGGTATCATAAGAGAAAAGAAGCAGAATTGGGATGAAAAGTTAAATTTCCAGGTGAAGTCAATTTTTCTCTCCTCTCCGCAGATCCAGATACCCCCACAGACAGAAGAAATCCACTGGCTTCACTTCTCTCCTGTGGAAAGACATTTCTATGACCGTCAACATGAAGTGTGCTGCCAGGATGCAGCAGTAAAACTCAGGAAGATTTCTGACTGGGCTCTGAAGCTCAGCAGCTTGGACAGGAGGACTGTCACCTCCATCCTGTATCCACTGCTGAGGCTCAGACAGGCCTGCTGCCACCCACAAGCTGTTCGTGGAGAGTTCTTACCACTCCAAAAAAGGTTTTATTATCAATCCTTATGCTACAAATTGATAATAGAATAGTAATAGACAATATTTAAGCACTTAGCTTCCTAGTTTACAGTTTCATTCAGGGTCTTATAGCTAAGTTATCAGCTATGTTTAGCAGTGTGGTAGTTTTTCTTTGGTAAGGAACCCCATTTGTGAAAGAATCATCAAAATTACCTTCAGGGTTTTGAGCAGTTCTTTTAAAATTAAGACTACTATGGAGTTTTTTTGTTTTGTTTTTGCTATAGTAAAGGCTTTTGTTCTTTATATTTTTTGGTCGCATCAGGAATTAGATGAAATAGATACTATAAAATATTTTCTTTATAATTTTGCTATTTCTCTTTGATTATCACTTCTTAACACATTAAAGGTATTTATGTATGTCCACAGTACTCTGTTGTCGCTTACATTGTTTATTCATCGGACTCTGACTCAGGAACTGACTTTTTTTTAGCAGCTAATATGAAAAAGATAATTTTCAGGCCTATAAGAAATAGAAAGAGGAATCACATTTTTGTCCTTGCTTTTATGCAGTTTTAGACCAGTAAAGGAGATG